GCTGTTGTTTTGCCCTCTCCAAGAGAGAGCACTTTCTGAGGTTCTTTTCTGTTGAAGACCCATGTGTACAGACAGGCTTAACCAGTTTGCTTAGCCCTCTTAAGTGGGCTATTAAATAGGTAATGGGTACCTATTTATTACAAACTGAAGTTGGTGGAGACTTAGGAATATTGCAGACAAAAATGCTATATAGAATCCACCCCCACCCCATCCCCAAAGTTAAAGCATCTCATGGCCAGGCAGGTATTCACCCAGTTTGCATGTTAAGAAATGGCTTGTTGTGAACTGACCAGGAATGAGAGGGCTGGCTCTTGAAACCTGAATGATCCACTGTGGGATCCGTTCTCACATTCAGTGTGAGGGATGTCCCATCCAGGGCTATTTAGTATAGCGTGTAAACTAGCAACTCTGGGTTGTTGGAAGAGACAATCCAGAGTTGGAACCCAGGTTGTTCTGACATACAAGCTGGGTCATTGACAATGTACCCAATACTTTCCCCCATTCCTAGGGATAGTGCTTGTTTCCTAAGGAAAAAATATGACCATATGTAATTAAAGTACAGAATGCAACATTATTTTTGCCTGCATAAACTTGATTTGGAACATATTCTTGCACATGGTGGGCATGTCGTGAGCGGAGGCAGCTGGAGCTGGGGGTCAGACTAGATGGCCTGGGAGACCCCTTCTGACTCACTCTGTTTCTATACATGGTAAATAATCTAGGAGTAGGATTGCCATATATTTTTATGCATGTCTCCTACAACTTTTTGAACTGGGAAGCCTTCTGCGCAGGAACATGGAAGATGTTGCATCCCAGATATGCAGCAAGAGAGATAGCTACTGCTACTGTGGATATTGGGACATTAGATATGGAATTGCTTCTTTCTATATGCATCTCAGTCTGGTCTTGTTTGGTTCCAAGTGGGGAATTACGATTCTCTGACATTTTGCCACTGTTGTTGATTTCACATGTCTTTCAAGAAGACATACTCCAGAAGAAACAGTTGCCAACAGTGAATTAATTTACTTTAAAGAGCAGGAAAATAAATTTGAGACTGCAATCCTGTACCCACTTACCTGAGAATGACCTTCACTGAAATGAATAGTGCTTATTTCTAGCTAGACATGCACATATGTTGTAAAACTCAAATCTGGTACCCAATTACTCAGAAATAAGTCACATTAAATTTAATAGGGCTTACTTAGAGTAGACAAGAATACATTGTGCAAACCTGCACATATCTATTTAGATGTAAGTCATATTAAGTTCAATGGTTTTACTTCCAGCGAAGTGAGTACAGGATTACAGCTAAAAACCTATTGGCAGCCTTTTCCTAAGTTTTTGTTAACCACCAAGAGAGCCTTGTACTATTGGGCTATATAAACATGAAATAAATAGATAAGTTTTGATAAGATGTCATAATAAGACCCAATATTTAATGAAAACATATTCATACTGTACTGACAAAAATCAGAAGGAAACCTGGCCTAACAAATGACAGATTTAACAAACTTTATTTACATAGAAATATGTGTACACATATATTCTGTACTTGTACACATACATTTCTAAGTATATACACATTTATAATTTCCACATACTCTACAATAAATAACTTGCAGCTGTATTTTAAACTGCCTATAGAGTTGGGTAAAAATACATGTCCAAAAATAACAGTTTACGACTAAATTACAAAAGCACCCAATATTGAACTCATAAATTTTAGCAATAAATCCTAGCTTATATACAGCTAAACCTAGGACACGTGGCACAGATCTGAACTAGAATTTTATTTATTATCTTGGCAGAACCAAAAAACTGAAAGGAAGCTAAAGCAGGAAAACTGTTTTGACCACAAAAATAATATTTAAAAATTAAAAAGAGGGAGGTTGAATCCTTAAATTTATGACCAGTCAAACAAAAACACATTTCGGAACTGCTAACTTCTACAACAATTTGTTTTCTTAATAAAAGGACATTTGTGGTGGAGGTTTTACTTCAGAGGAAGGTAGGCGAGTATACTGAACAATATGCTTTGGATTCAGGAGATGACTAGATATATGGATGGCTGGGTAATCTTTGTATCTCACCGGAGAGCTTGAAAAATGGGCAATGCAGCTGCAGGGTTCATCTCTGTCACAGCCTCCAGATCAGAATAAATTGGGGACACCAGGCAGCCGGATTGTGACACAGACATGCAGAAGGAGGGGTGGCTACTACTGCGGCAAACGCTGCACGATACGTACAGAGTTACTCTTCTCTTTGTGCCGCTCAACCTTTTCCCTCTTTAAACATGGCTGTGGTAATAAAAAAAAGAATTGGTTTTGATGATGTGGCACCTATCTTATCTGTTCATGGTACTGAATGGCTTGGCACTGCTTCGTGGAGAAGGAGGTCCCAGGCATCTTACGATGCTCTTTGAAAGAAGAGATACATCGTAAGAGCAGATTGGACTTGAGTGGATGTAGAAGCCCATGTCTAGCGGTCCAGATGTTGCTTATAAAATGCCATCATATTACTATGTATCTTTAAATGTGCACTTGGGCTGGAAAATGTGCTTCTTCCCTCCGTGCCCCCCCCCTTGCACGGAGGCAAGGTGCTAGTTTCAAACTGTGGCAGTGCAAAACAATCCCTTATCACCCTTGGTGCAACCACAGGTAACTAGCACCTATTCTGCTGGTGACTGTTCTAGAGAGAAGTGCTCAAGCACTTGATTTCTTGGGGAATGTGTTATCAGATGTAACAACCCTGAAATTCACATTAGATATTTATCTGGCACTTTTAGACACTGTTTCGTAGCCACACGGCTCTTTAGATTATTTATATAATACATAAATGCACATCATTGTTACTGATTATAACAATATCATAAGCATTGCTATAGCTTATTCTTTTCTTTGATTTCAGCTTTTGGTAACATTTAGAATGTTTTTCAGATGCCCAAGTTTTGTTTTGCATCACGGAAGTACCATAGTTATTTGGGGTGACATCCATTTGTGTGATGGAGCTTCCTTTGCGCAATGGGATTGCCTCTTACTCTCCTTCCCCCGTGCACCCCCGTATCTCAGCCATCCAGGGTACTGAGGCTGTGGGGGAATTCAGGGTAATATCCTATTATGCCTGTGCTTTCCCAAGAACAAATGCTCATGCACAAGGGCTATTATCTTTCCAAAATTTATCTTGTTGAAGCTAAGCAGATCTGGATTTGGGTAGTGCCTAGGACAACCATCCTCAACCTGGTGTCCTCTGTAGGAGTTGAACTGCAGCTCCCATGACCTCCTCGAGCTCCATGAAGGAAGAAAGGTGGAACATAAACATACTTAAATGAAATACGACAATCAGCCAATTAAGGCATACCCTTTGCTGGAAAAAAAAACCACAATCAGAAGTTCTATATCAAAGTTTTTGCCAGCTGAAGACCAAGTTGCAGAAGCCAGATCATATTGACAGGTCAGAGTTCTTACCTTTCCTACATCTGGCAAGTATGCATGTTGCTAAAAACCAGGGCCCTTCCTTTTCTATCCGAATAAGATATCCATTGCATAGGAGGAGAAAGCACTGCTTGGCTCTCTCACTGAAATCGGTGTTACAACTGACTGCATTTATGGAAAACTGGCTTCTTTTGGGAGCTTACATTTCTAGGGCTTGGTCTGTTTTAACTATGGTAAAGCTCCTAGAGAATCTAGAAAAAAAGTTTGATTGTATCAGGCTAACAAGAGAATCTAAGATTAATGAGTCTCATCTATAGAAAATGTTTTTAAATGTTGCATTAAATGGTTCTATTAGCAGAATTTTAGAACTAATTTGTGTATTTACTAGTTTTCACAGATTTGCAAATCTGTATCATGTACCTACAGCCTATGTTTTCTATCCACTGGAGGGTCCCCCAGTGACTGTTCTGATCACAATTATAACATGTTTCACTATTTGAAATAGGCGTGGCTTCAGAGGTGTCCACCATACTTGCATTCACTGGCCTCACTTACTAAATAAATTGTCATTTAGAATCCAGTATAAGTAAATGATGGCTCTTGTGAATTATTCATTTATGAACAGATTATGTAAATCCAATTGATTTTTTAAAAAATTAGTTCCTACAGAACTTTCCCGACCTTTGAGCAATTCTTTTTGCAATTGCAATGATGCTTGAGCCTCCTTCACAAAATCTTTGGATGCAGCCCAATATTGCATGAGCAGAATTCTGCTCGCATGAGTAAGCTTGCTCTTTCCCCTTGAAGTCCCTCCAGCAGATTTGAAAGATTTGCAGGTAATCTCAAGAAAGAAAGGGATCCTCTTTCCATACTGCGCTCACAGAAGCCGTTCCATCAGGAATGTGGCTTTATTGGAGGTCACCCCTTTTTACTTCATCTCATACTACAACTGCCCATTTTTAGTGTCATCTCAACATTGGTGGGTAATACAGTTGTAACTTTCCTTGAATGCCAGTGAATGTTTCTTCCTACACTTAAGCACTTTGGCTGTTGCAACAAGTCTTACAAAAGAGTGAACGGTGACTGTTGCTTGCATCAGCTTTCTCATTTTCTTCTTGTCCACATACTGTTAGCATCTGATATTCCCCCTACAACTGATGGGAACAGGCACAAATAGAAATTATATATATGAATGTGATATTTTGGTATCTGAATGCACAGGGCTGGTTCACACATGCAGATTACTCACCACACTGAACCAGAGTTGAATGGCTGAACTTACTCCACTGAAAGATGTGTATCTGAAGTGCTACAGAGTTCTATCTATGGTGTTCAATCTGTGATGATTCACTGCCACATGCAAATTGCTACCTGATGTTGTAGTCATCAACTGAGAACATGCATAGGTGAACCAGCCTATAGACATATTATTATTTTCCTTTGGAGGGAAGAAATGTATTTGTTCAACCTGATTAGGAAGCACTGTCCTTACTAAGGAGTTTAAAGCAGAAATTTAGACAGATCATCAACATTCTAATTTAACAGTCACTGAAAAGAGGATGGAGTATCTCATCCAGAGGATAAATATGGCGTCTCGCTGTGATAGTTGTAATCAGGGCAAACCTTTTGCACCAGTTTGTAATCAACACTGTAAAAAGCAATGTAAATACAGATTACTTTAAATGGTTTAGAACACAACCAGGATACATGGCTTTGTGTCTGCTCTTGGTAGCAGATCTTTGAAGGGTCAAAGTTACACAGTGCAGTTTTCTTAGCCCTGTCTGTTTTCTCATATTCAATTCGGCAGTTGAAAGACTTGGACTCCTTGGTCTCTAGGGTTGATTGCGGTGAAGATTCAAACTCCACCACCTTGGATGGTGGCACCAGGCTCACAGAAACATTTCCAAGGCCTGTTGAATTGTGCCTGAAATAAACACTAAAGGTTCCATTGCCATGATCAACGATTTTCCCTGTTATGAGAAGATTCAGCTTCACAGTTTTGATGTTAGAATGGAAGTCACCCCACCCAAACATTTTCTTGAATTTTCCAGTTTTTACAATCGGCCTGCGTTTAGTTCGTGCAAGAGATTCCTGAACCTCAGTGATGTTGGATAACCAATCCCAAAAGCTGTCCATGCTGTCTGAATATGACATCTGCCCATGTTTCAGTGCTGGAGATGGCTTGACAAAGAGTCGTAAAGGGTTGATGATCTTTGAATGGACGACATTGTCAACCAGTGCGTCTGTAGCATCTTTGTCCTCCCAGTCCATTAAATCTGTGGCACGAATGCTTTGTTTAGCATCACAACATATCTGTTTCAAAAGAGAAAAAAACAAAAATAAATAAATACTGAGATCTAAAACCTTTGATATATAATGGCATTTATTTATACATGTATTGATTAGGCCTATAATTGCCGAGGCATTCCTAGACAGCTTTGGGCAAAATATATTTACCTCTGTTTTATAGTAAACATGCTCAGGACTTACAACAATGTTGTGACATTCTGTTGGGTTGTAGCTAGAAGTTTTCCCAACTCAGAACCAGTGAAATGGGATTAAAATGGTTCTGGGGTTTTTTTTTCTTCCAGTGCCCTATTTTTCCCACAGACAATTTCACATTTCACAAATCCATTATTAACAATGAATGAATGCCAATTGCAGATATAATATTATGCCAGTCTGAGAGTTTCCAGTTTTTAATTAATGTTTTTCCAGTGATTATCCTTAGCAAGTATGTGAGATATATTGAAAAACAAGCATTTTTCAATGTGAAATTGCACTAACAGGTAATAACCGCAAAACTGAAGGTGCACCAACATCATCACATATATTTCCAGTCAAATACTTGATCAGTTGAGATAAAATATGGAGTTCTTTACTAAATTCAAGTAAAATAAATATTCTAAATGAGGTCACTTTCTGACCAAAATACTTCTGATGCAAAGGGCCCTATGCAAATTGCTCAGAACTGCCTCCACCAGTGGCCACTCCACCTGAGTGCATTTTAAGCCGAGATTACATGGTGAAGTCAATGCTGTTCACATGGCTGGCACCAACCATCCTACCTACTCATTAGGAGCTTTTCTATACTGGGCTGTTTCTCCAAGCTCCACAAAGAGAGCTTTTAATATCTTGCTTTTCCACTGCATATCTTCCGTGTGGAGTTATGCTACAGTAGAGCAACACAAGAACAGGAAAGAAAAGGCATTTTCTTTCGCATTCATATATAATGCTGCATTTTTCCTACTCTTTCCTCAAGAAGAGTTTATTATTTACCCTCGAGCAATGCAGTGCCATCTAGTCTGCTTGGCATTTGCTTCCCAAGGGCTTAGGCTCAGTGCCCCTTTCTAGCCCTGCTCCCCAAGAATCTGAACAATGTAGCTCAGGCCTTCTACTACTGAGCCATAGCCCTTACCCATGTTATCAGTCCAAGGCACACTTCTTTTTAAACCAAAATGTTTCTATCCCTCCTCTAAAGTATTTGAATTTAGGGTCCCCCAATGAATTCAGCTGGATATTAATTCAGGACAGAGAATCAAAAGGCTTTTCTACACAGCAGCTGATTAATTCATAGAATTGAATGCCCCACAGCATGGCATTGGCTTAGACAGCTTTATGGGAATTTGAAAAATTCATGGAGGAACAGAGGTCTGTCAGTGGTTATTTAGCCAAAGCTACATGGAATGTCCAAACTCAGAGGCAGTCTAGCCCTGAATGTGCTGGGGAATAAAGTTGAACGGGAAAGAGCTACTGTTCACCTCACACCCTGCTTATGGCCTTCCTGGCTACACATGGCTGGCCACTGTGGGAAGAAGAATGTTGGCCAGTGGCCCCACAGTTGTGTGGACGGATGCCCAGTCAGAAAATGGCTGCCGTCAGCAGGATCATCTGACAGAAGGCATGTTGGTGAGGCTTACAGACAAGTAATTCACCCAAGAACTTCAATATGAAAAGTGATAAGGTCAGACTACCATAACACAAAATGATGCGCTTGAGCCCAAGGTTTTCTGTTGCCAACCGATCACCCATTTCACAAGCCAATTCATTTCTCCCCGGGCAACCTCAAAAATTATCCCCTCCAAATAATAACAGTAAGATCACCCCAAATCATGTTCAAAAACCTCACATTCCATAATTGCAAATACACACCCAAGGAACCACACAACCAACTGCTAACTTGCTTGGTTAAAACCACACGTTACAGATTGCATGTAACTCGTATAAAACAAACAAACAAAAATAGAACCTTGAATGGAAAAATAAGTTGGCAGAACATGCAGTGATGACAAAATTAACTAATTATGTAAATAGAAGACTGGCTGAAGAATTTAATGACAAATGGAAATTCTATTATACTCAATACAATTAATGGGATGTAAAAGGGAGCTCTTTAAAAAGTTGTTGAGGATTTATAATTGATTTAAAGCAACTGGAAAGCCCTTAGGACATCAGACCTCACTTTGGTGTATTTGGTGACTGAGTACTGTATGGTTAAACAGTGCACATATAAAAGCAGTGAATATCCAACTTAACCACACTATGAGATTAGTATCAGGAACCATTAAATCGACACCTTCCAAAGGGCTACCAGTATTATCTAACACACCACCCCCACATCTTAGAAGACAATTAATTGTAACAAGGGAGTGGCAGAAATGTGAGGCAAACTGATTATTACTTATACACAAGGACTGCTGCAATTAAATATACAGACTTGGATCTCAGAGTCGCCGTGGAAACTTGGACAACAACTAGTTAGAGAACGCTTTGACACTGAGATAGCATGGTGTCAGGAGTGGGCAATTTCAAATCCAGATCAGTTTAATTTAGTGATGGATCCAGCACAATGCCCTAATGGCTTTGATCTCCCAAGGAAAAACTGGTCAGAACTTAGCTGGATTCAGATCAAACATGGCAGATGCCAATAACTGGAAACAAAAATGGGGGGTGGTTGATAAGTCTAGTTGTGACTGCAGGAGTGTCCCACAAACTCTACATCACATCATGATATAGAGCCCCTTAGAAGGTTTCATGGAACCCTGCAAGAGTTCTGTCACCTCGAGGGTACTGCTCTCCAATGGTTAAATGATCTAGATATCTGGCCATAGGTTTAGCCACTCTAGTAATTGCTCGTAAATAATCTAATTTTATCTGCAATCTTACCCATTGTTCATATTGTGTGCATTTTAAGTTCATTATTGTCTTGCTGTTATGAATGTAACACACATTATATATTGGTGTGTGAATTTTTATGCAGTAATGACGTATTCCACTGTGCCATACGAAATAAATAAGTGACTGGAAAATTCCTGGGATATAGGATAATAATTCCTTTTTTTCTGAGCTTCCATAGAGTGATGAATGACAGAAAGATGGATACTTTCAGTCTCTTTGAAGTTTGTGGGCTTGATTGTATTGGTTGCACTTGCTCAAAATCCTTTGGCAACTTTATTCTATTTTACTTTATTTTACTTTTATATACGTAAAGTTTTCTTCTTTCTGTATTCCGTTTATGTTAAGAAAATAATAAAAATTAATAAAAACTAGAACCTCCAGTAGCATTTTCACTCACCTATGGTTTGCCAAGTCAATGGAGGCTAACAATTCCTAAAAATAAAGCAGAATACACTGCCCTTCATTTTACTGTGACCCAGAAAGAATCTAACTTAATTAATTTGTAATTAAAACAAATCAGAGGCAATTGCGTAGCACAGACCATTAAGGCAGGCATAACCAGGCTGTGCAAACAAATGTGCCTTCTGTCACTCCATGCCCCACATGAAACCAAAGTGATAACAAGGGAGTCAAAACACAAAAATTGCGCACCAAGTTTTGCTTCCCCGTTTCCTGCAAGAAGGACTGTATAATTCACCAGGCTCAGCAACTTAGCAAATCATATAAGCCACTCTCACAACAAAATTCACTGAAGACTCTTTCTTTCGTTGAGTAGAAACGTAATTGGCTGAGTTACACAATACCAATATTTCATCACTGTGCAATTATTCAAAGAAACTACTTCATTTGCAAGGAAAACCCTTTCCCAGCATCAAACACATTAACCAGTTCACCATCTATGTATGTTGGACTACACATTGCTATACAATACAAAATAATTTAAATGCTGCAACAAACAGAATGCAAGATGGTGGGCACAGAGAGACTGCTCTTATCTTCCCTAAAATCCAGTGATTCCTCTACCCTTATCAAATGCCAGCTTTTTTATGCCTCATACAGTATATCAGCTCTGTTGTTTATACACATGAGTGTGATAGAAGTTCACGTTAAGAATTTTCAGCATCTCTTACTTAAGCCTGGCTGGAATAATCACATCTCACAATACTGTCAATTACACATAACCCTCTGCCCCAGTGGCAACCACCTCATCCCATCATATAGCACCATAATCTATTGCAGCTTTTTAGTAAGAAAATTAGAACAGATTCTAATAATCCAGCATAACAAGGAGAGCTCCAGTGTGATGATTAATTAAATGTATTTTCCCTAAAGGCGAAGGGTACAATAGATTTACAGGAGCAGATGTGATTGCCATAGGGAATGTTGCAAGTTTGAGAATTAAGTAACATCTCCCTTGATCTGCACTGTAGATTCAGCACCACCCCTTGATATTTTCCAGAACTAAGATGTGCAGCACTGCATTATGGGATGCTTGTATTTCCAGTGCAACAACCAGATGGGTTGGGGGAGATTCAAATGGCACATAGCTTGCTTATATTTTTTAAAGCAAGGGAAATGTGTGCAAGACTCAGATTTCTACTCTGCAATTTTCATAGATTATTATAAAATATATGAAAAGAACAACTGGCAAAACGAGGCCCAAATTTTGTGAAAATCTGAAATTAATTGCCAGAAAATTCAAGGTGGTCAAGGTAGTCTTTTGCACATGCAGTGAGAGGAGAATGCTTCTCCTATTATTATTCATTTCTACATCTTCTGCAGAAGCTCAATGAGCAGTACACAGTAATTAATAAGCTCAAGTACAATAATAAAAGCCAATGGCAATTAAAATACAAATACAGTATAAAATTCCAATGTACACGATTTATTTATCACATTGCATTTATTACATTACATTACATTTATAGCTCTCCTTTTTTCCTCTAGTGAGGAACCCAAGGAGGCTTATAAAGTCATCCTCCCTCCATCTGATCCTCTCAACAGCAAGCCTGTGAGGTGGGCTAAGCTGAGAGCGAGTGACTGCCCACAGTCTCCAGGTGAGCTTCGTGACTGATGGATCCCCTGCAACTGAGCAATATTCACCAAGCAAAACCGTCTGGAGCTGGCCATTCCAG